TTGATTAAAAAAAACACTATATCGGATTCATATCGGTATCGGCAGATATCGGTATCTGACATAAAAAAGTGGTATCGTGCCATCTCTAATTTCTACAAGTCTTTATCTAGATGATTTCCACTGAGTGCACATCCTGTTTTCCACCAAAGCCACATTTCCTTTTCATGGTACAGTGCAGCAAGCACTACTTTAAAGGGACTTCTACTGACCACTGAGCACATGAAGTGGTGGCATCTGGGGTTAAGCTGTTTGACTGACTCAAAGAAAAGAAAAGTGTTTCTCATTTCCTTTTCACATCTAGAGCTCAAGATGGGAGTCTAACTGGAGAAATTCAAGCCACAAACCCCTTGAAAGAAATCATTTGCAGGTACAGTAGTCTCCACAGGCAATCTCCAGAAGTCAAGTAAGCATAAGGCAGGGAAGTCTGAATCTTATACATGTTGGGGCACTATTAATGTACATGTAAAAAAAAATAACTGGCTAAAACATAGTCAGTCCAGACTTCTTACTTGTTTGAGGATTTTATATTCCTGTAGTATTTCTGTGGTCCCATCAGTCCCTTGAAAAGTGCCTGGGCCTCTGCACTCAATAGTCCGTTAGGAGTGATAAAATTAGAGTTGTGAGTTTTCCCAAAGATCCCTCAAGAGTTTATTGACCAACTGTTAGAAACATCTATGAAACATTCATTAAGTGTCAGATACACAGGAAGCGTAATTACGCCATTGAATTACCACATATTCACTTTGTTCCCATGGAAAAATGTGCGATAGAGCAATTGACATATCTTTTCTACAACTTTCAAATGAATTCCCCCCCTCCCCCCATGTGAGAAATGGTCAGAGGAGTCCATTCTCTTGAAATTTATTCCTCAGACAAATTGGTTTGTGGTCAAGTTTGCTTGCAAAATCAAACCATTTTCAATTCTCCAACAGAATTCAAGCGAAACACTATTAAAGGGGGGAGACACAAAAAGGCTGAGGCGAAAATGGCTGAAGATGGGAACTCTGACATCAAAAGAAAAAGTAAAGGATTTTTACAGTCTAATAGTGCGCAAATGGACTCGGCCTGAACTCTCCTGCTCCACTCAATAAAATTCATTAAGACCGGGAGCAGCAGGGAGAGGGAAGCAGTCACAGAGAGAGAGAGAGAGGTAGACTGGCAGAAGAAGAGGGAGCAAGAGAGAGAGCTGTTGTGTTTTAATAATTCTTGGTGGTCTTTTGTCATTCATGCAGGATCAATAACAACTCTCCATCTCCCAGACACAAGCAGCCGATCAGCACTGTGGAAGAGCAATAGATCAGGCTGATTAATCAATAACCATTTAGCTGGGTGGAGAGGGGAAACAACTACAGAACAATGAACTATCAAATACACATTAATACCCTCTGTCAGCCTGTCTGCCTGCTTTTGTGCTGGGCTGACAGTTTTATCTGTCTGTTTATCAGTCCGCCTGTCTATCGCTCACTGAAGTGTCTTTCTGCTGATCTGTCTCCCCTACCCCACCCTCCCCACACCCACCTGCACCACTGTCTTCTTTTTTTCCCCTTTTTTTTAAAACAGCACAGGTTTTAATGAAGATTTTCACAAACAAGTGCCATCTGTATTCGCTGTCATCTCTTTCTTTCTCTTTCACTCTCACCACCTCATTTTTACAGGTATAGTGTTTATTTTAAATCTTAAACACAGCTGGGAGTCAGTGGGCTGCTCCAACATCACACCTCCCACTAGCACAGCTGCTCGTTGATGCACACACACACACATACAGGCGCGCTCCAGATGGCGTACAATCCATTGAATGTTTCAGAGAAAGGCTTAAAAGTATCATTTAGCTAAAACTGAGTTTCATAAAGAAATTGTGTTCTACAATGAAACACCCTGCTGAGACCCACAAGCTGCACTGCTGACTTTCTCTATAATGAAGGAAAACCAAATTATATTTTCCATCTTTAAGGCCCTGAGTGTTATTTTTTTATTGCAGGTTAAAATCGTTATGATAATAAACTCTTTACTGACAGATGGGTCCTGTCAATATGTCACTTTTACCAGGGGTCATGCTGGGGATGCGACGCAGTGTCTTGCAGTGTCTCTTTCTGACACTAGGAGTCACCAAAATGATCAATTTTGAAATTTTAAAAATGAGGGCTGCAAATTTATCATGTTTATACAAACTCTGATTTAGATAAGATTTTGACCTGCCTCTCGAGAGAATGAAAGGATGAGAACCTTGTATGGTGAAAATTGAGATTTTTTTGAAACATACAATGAAGTGCCACCTTAGTGGATAGCCAACGTAAACAAGGACCAATGTAACTTTTAGACAAACAACAGCTCCTGTGACAACAAAGCAATAGTTCAGTCTAAAAAAAGCAAAAAACAAAAAACAAAATCTTTTCAAAGTTTCAAAGTCTGCTCTGTTTTTTATTTGTCTGCACTGTAGCAACTACAAACTATCAAAGCTCATAAAACCTCTGCTGGGTTTGTTTTCCAGCGTGTACTCCAGAGCAGGTAATCTCCAGCACAAGAGGAACCTTCGAGTTATATGAGCGACGCAAGAGTGAGATGAATTCAGATTTCAGTGAGGTCCCATTGCGAAATAAACAGATCTGTATGTGATTTAGAACAACATGCGAACAAATTTAGAACTGAGAATATTAAATTTGTGCTGTTTACACCAAAACAGAGGAATCAGATTTTTACTTGATGTCTGGATATATACACCAAGTCAGGGGTCCCTGTGGCTCTGGTAGTGGTCTATGGTCCAAATGTCCACGGACAGGATAATGAAATTCTAAAATTTCCCCTGCAAGTGAATATGAATGTGTGTGAGTAGTGCTTGCAGTGTAAATGCACTCAGACCCGATGCACGTGTGGGTTATATTTTTCCTCTAGACCAGAGCTTCACAAATGGTGTGCTGGGGTTTACCGGTATGTCTAAGTATGCTATGTTCATACTCTTTATGCACGGAAGGAAATAAAAAACATCTTAAGGCCTTCTGTCAAAGACAACTAGGTCAATTCATGCAGCTGCTGGATGGTGGGAATTACGAGACTGTGTCAGGAACAACCAGGTAACCAAATATCATGTTAGATGCCACAAGAAGAAGTGCCTTCGTCTGACTGTATAATCAAAAAAACAACTGATAAAATGTCACCGTGCAGACATTTGTGTGCCTTGGCCACAAAAAGTTTGAAAACTACTGAAATACTACAGCGATATAAACTAAAATACCTTCATGGTAAAAAGGAAGAACATTATCCTTCAGTTCTAAGGCTTTAGATATCAAATCAGATCTGATCCTTAGAAGCTCTTAATATTATTTATTTAACAAAAGCTAAGATAAAATGCAGAAGAACTGCCTGATTCCATGGGACTTAAGAGGGTAAGTAGCAGCTGAGTACAGCTAGTCAAATGCATTTGATTAATTGATCATCAGCAAGTGTGACCACTCCTATAAAAGCAGAGGTTTTGGCAGCTTGTTGGTTTGGAGCATTCAAGTGTGTGTTAGCACAATGCCAAGGAGAAAATAAATTATTTTAAAGAAGCAACTGTTGCTGCCCATAAATCTGAGAAGGGTTATAAAGCCATTTTCAAGCCATTTGAAATCTATCATTCGAAAGCGAGAAAGATTATTTACAAATGGAAAGATTCAAAATAGTCTTCCTTGGAGTGGATGTACCAGCAAAATTAGCTCTAGATCAGAGAGTGAATGTTTGATGCACAAATGATTAAAATCAAATGAGTAATTTCATTCATGAAACTGTCTGTATTTTATGTCCAAATTTAGAACTGCATCACAAAATAAGTACAAACAAATTATGAAGCTTTGGCCGTGTTAGAAAATGTAAAAATATCTTAAAACCAAATACTACAACTAATATACACCACCACCATCACTACTACTGCTACTATTAATAATAATGATACTAATAATAAAATAAACATATCTATAATACTGATGTGAGTCCATCTGTACAACTGCTAAAGCCTGGCTGAAATTGGGCCATGCAACAAGCAAGAGACAAAACTCAGCAGAAGCTTAGAAGTGAAAGACGGTGTGCTTTCATTTTTCCCATGACTGTATATCAGTTGCTTGATTTCTGTTTAAATTCTTGTCATCTTACTTACGTTGGCAATCTTTTGCTATGATGGCGTCTCCATAATAACTTGCAGCGCAACTGTCACAAGCTTCGCCACCATAACCCTGGCGACACCGCAGACACCGGCCTGTATTTGGATCGCAGCTCCCAGGTATGGAAAGGTCCAGGTTGCCATTGCAATCACAAAGTCTGCAGGATCCCCCTGGTACAGTGGGCTGACCGTAGTATCCATTGGAACATCTGAGAATCAGTGGAGATACCAAGAGATGGATAAATCAGTTTCACATCATCTTTAACTGATCAACTTCCTGGGGGAGATGTAATAATAAGAGAATAAGGTGAAATATTTTGTACAATGCAGATAGAAGACATGCCAGTGAACCCACAAATATTTTTCTGCATCAAGGTTTTTGCAGATTTTTACTTGTAATCTGTCAAGTTTCTGACTCCTAGAGGTAGCATTAAAAAGCACCCCTGAGGATGACTGGGCTGAAACTGACTGTAAAAACTGTCACATTTTCTACATACCTACTCTTATACCAGCAGCAGAAGTTGTCTAACTATAAAATTTGACATACAGGAGCTTTTAAAATGCCTCAACCCTGATCAACATCCAAGCTTTACCCTTTCGAGCTGCACCAACAAGATGCCATCCTGTTATTCTCCCTCTCTCTGTTACTGAAGGAGCAGGTATTGCACTAATATCTTGAAAATACAGTTTTGCTCTGCTTTTATATCCCAAATAACACTTGAAAAATGTGTTTTTCCCCCTCAGCTTTCAAGTTTGAAAGAAAATACACAGTGGGTCACCTTGTCTTCTATCTTTCTTTCGCATCTAACAACTACTGCGCATGAGTCAGCAGGTAAAAGCAGGTAAATATAAGTATTGTTTACTTCAGCTTCTAGCACCAGTATTATAAAACACTTCGAATACAAAATTACTAATTAAAGTGCCAAACTATCACAGAAGCCAAAATCCAGTCTCTATCTAGACAAGAACTAAAAATCATCAGCAACGGT